GGGGGGGGGGAGGGAAGAAGGAGCTAGATTCAGTGAGGTCCGGTAGGGTAACATTCTGGTCAAGATACCATGACTCATTCTAAAGGAGACGCGACCTCCTGGTTTGAAATAATAAGTTCAACCTGCCAATTAATCCGTCTTCATTAGATGACCATCGTTGCATGCCAGTTTTCAATCCGTGAAAACGTTAATCAATTTTTGCTTTCCCTTAGGGAATTTCAACCGAAATGAATTATTAATAAACCTCATTTTCGCACCACTAAGATTTAATGAGATGAAACCCATTAGTACATAATACAAATGACAAAATATAGCAAGCTTTTAGGAAGCAATTTGTACATCCATAAATACCCGTAATGTGGTTGCAAAGTGTACGTATGAAGAGGAGGGTGAAAAAGGGGGCCATCGTTGGAATTTTTTCCTTCCTTCATATTTGGCAGCTTCTGCTTGAAGGGCTTTATGATTTATGGCATGATTTTTGGTCAGTCAACACCGCACGCCACAAGTCAAGAAGAATGGAGCACAAATTGGTGGAAAAACAGAAGGTGAGGAAAGGCCTACGTATGGAACCTTTGGATGTTTTCACTTTCCTCCCATTAGGGCAACTAAAAATATTCTTGTTTTGGTAAAAATGTCTATTCATAATCATTTTGCCTTCGTGTTGGGAATAAAAAGGCTTTATTATTTCAAGCCCTCCTAGGCATTTCATATGGCTAACAAGGTTAGAAATTCAGTTGTTTTCTTTTGCAGCCAAAGATTTGTTAAGGACCACATATCTGCCATTTCAGTAGGATGCACATGGTGTATATGAGCCTCTATTCAAGTTAAAATGCCGTTCTGACATTTGGGTGGTAATCAGACCAAATAGAGGGTGCATACAAAGGAAATGCTCCTTTGATTTACAGTAGGAAAGGGGGGTGTTTGGGGGTGCTTTTACAACATATAAATCACTCTAGAGAGGAAAAACAGCGAGTTGCCAGGGTTAAAATGTATCGTTTTGAAGCATATCGGACAAACTTTTGAGCTGTCGACTGTCATGATAACTTCGAGGTGGACTAGGTTAGCAGTCATGCGAGAAAATTGCGCCCAGTTGGCAGGAAATTGAAAACCTATGATTAATCATCATCTTCACTTATGCTGAATTTAAAAACAAAACGCGAAGATCTAACTGACATTTGAACCAAACATTTTGGTGCCAGGGCAAAAAAATCGAAGCTAAGGATGCAAATATGAACTGAGGTTTATTTTCCTACTCTTGTCGAAATAGGTGTCAAAATTTTCAAAGATTTTAAAGTATCTTTTAATTTCTGAGATCTAAAACAAAAGCCAAATAAAGTCTTTTTCAAGTTCGTCGGTTAAGTAAACCAATAATTTCTTTCCATTTTTAAATAAATTACCTTATAAATATCCATTTTACCAAAAAATTTTGGCTAAGTACCCTCTAGTTTCATGAAACTCAGATATAGCTAAAACGATTTCGTTATAGGTAAATAAATTGTCCGATCGATTTTAATTGATTGCTCGATTTGTTTATAGGTTTGTTCGAAACAGTCGCCAGAAGAAGTTCAAAAGCGAGCAAGACGAAATTACCTTAGACGAGCACGATCTCTTTATAATCCTTCTGGTCCGAGTTACACACCTTACAATGTGCGAGCTCGAAAATCCGAAACCGAGGGTCGAAAACGCTTCACAAGAGAAGAGCGTCGATCAAAGCGTGTTAAGCGATTGGTACGACAGCTTAGTCGCAGTTACCGAGATTACTACTGTCAATGGCAACGCGATACCACTACCCTACAACCAGAGTGCAGCTGCATGTGCTGAATAGATATTCACGTCCTCCCCCCCCCTCCCCTCCAACTAGCCTCCACTCAACTCAGATAGTACTCTCCACCCTTCACCATTTGATTACCAAACTAATACCAGATATTATGAGTACTATATCTCTCTATATATATACGCACACGGACTTGTGTAACATATCTAAATCACCCTCTCTCATCCTCCAACTGCATTTGTCATACTTTTCATTTTTTGTGAATATAAACTGATACTACTTTCAGCTATTAACAAGTAGCTATGTAGAAAACCTCAAATCGCTTGTATTTAACTCTCCTCGAATAGATGAATTTTCTTAAAGAGATTGAATCTAATAAAAAAATTTGGCTTTTATGCTGTCTTGAGGGAAAGTGGACTTAATTGCATTTCACAGTGACTATTTTTATTCCGAGGTGACAAAATTAGTCACCTTTTAAGCAGTTGGGTTCGGTATTGCCTGATTATCCTAAATTGAGGTTAGTGGAGGGTTTTTCTGCCAGTACGTAATTGCAAACTATCCATTTAATTTTTGTGAATTAGAGTTTAAAATAACTGTAGTTTGCGATTAGGGTGTTATTGCTTTGGCAATTTCATTGGTTTAGGATTCGGTTGGAACTTAACGGAAATAAGGGAGAAAAATTGTAGTCTACATTGGTATACAAGAGTCTCGTTTTTCATTACCATCGCATTCGCAATCTAGTTAAAATTTGCTTGATTGAAGAAGAAGGCCAATGTCTAAATTGACTAAATATATTAGATTATTTGGCGCAACCAATCACAACGAGCCGCAAACCCTCAAGTCGGAAGTATGTATGCCCATTAGTATTTAACATTATTTTAAGATGCTCATATCAGCGACTCACGGTCATATTTGGCTGCATACAATTACGAGAGATATTTTTTATTATATTTAAACAATTATCTCTCTAATAGATGTTCTACTCTTATTTACAAATTAAATCCTTTTGAACCACCTAGTTAAATAGAGTGATTTCGTTTGAGATTAAAAATATCCGTAATGGCTGGGATAATTTAAAAAATTCAATGAGAACCTAATGTGTAACTCCTGGATGAGTCGAGTTAGGTTAATTTGCCGTAGCCAGTTCTACCCGAATAGTCCTGGCTATAAAATGACGTAATTTGTTGGAGGTTGTATGGCCAATCATGGAGATAATTCGACAGATCAATAAGCTCTGGTTATATTCGGCGGAACCCTAATCATCCAATTTGGAATGAGATGATAAAAACTGAGCATATGGACCCTCCAACCCCAAGAACGGATTTTTTTCTGTGTGGAAGTTGCCACAACAAAAAATCTCGTGGCATTCAGACTTAATTACCAAATTTCGCTAATTTCTATTTATATTGGATTCCTCTACGTCTCTTTATTCAGTCACTTTTTATGATCATATCCTGTGACTTAAAATTCACAAGAATAATTTTTAACAGGTTAATTCAGGGTAATGTTTAGTTTCTTTATCAGCACTACTCGAGGGTTCACTTATTCTAGCCAATAAGAATGTTAGAAATTCTTCTTTATGAAAGGGCATGGATGCTATAACAAATTGCGAATTATGACTGGGATTCCACATTCGTTAATGCCTTCATATCCAAGTGTATATATATTATATTTTGTAGCTAAAGGTAAACATGTGATTGGATTTATGCCTAGAAGTATCCATTCCGGTCGAATACAAAGCTTTTATTTCACATCTAAGACTGCTGATAAGATAAGACCAATATTCTTAATGTTTGTCGAATGCAACATGAAGAATGAATCTCTTCAAATGCTCTTCTTCCCACTTTCCATATAATTATAGACGTGGAATTGATATTCACATTGAAAAAATAATTAAAAATTTATTAATCCTATTTCTTATTTTGTTGAAGACGTTTTATCGTTCGAATATAATTATATAATTTATGCCAAAGAAAAAATAAATAAGTAATTTATGGTTTATTGCTTATAATATTTGTATTTTTTAAAGTATGCTAAAATGCATTGTATGATCTTGCAATAGATGGACTATCTTTTGGAGATTTGCGCAGTATTATTAAAATCGGGGTGAATAGGGGTGTGTGATAGACTTACCTCCACGTGGTGCACTCTGGGCAACGTATACTCATACGGCAAAAAAGTCTATTAACTGGCAGTTGACTTCTGACTTGAAACTATCACCACCTCACTGTATGTCATATTCGACTACTTCTACAGTACTTACCTCACCTTCATTCAATTTTTTCTACCTTCGTCTTTAAAACACTCTTTTGTTCCCCCCCCCATCGACTTTTTTCCACTTTGATGTTCCGTCCCCTCTGTGAAGCCTTGAGTCAACTTAAGGGCTAATGATAACCATCAAAACACCTGCCATTCGATATAAATATTATTAAGAACTAGTGTTTTGGATTACCTTTGGAGACTTATTAATTAGTAATCAAATTTCCAATTCGTAGTTATCAATTAAAGAAATAACAATCGTTTGGCTAAAAGTCTTCAAATAGCATTAATCCCAAACCCTAATTCTGCTCTGAATGTTTGGCTGAGTGTGATATGGGGCTGTCCTAGAACCAAACAAATAATTTGCCCAAAAGTCAACAGACAATGAAAAATTTAGAATGTGAAAACCACGAATTGAATTGTACAGATGAGCATTGCAAAAATACATTTAACTGATGAATTAATGAAGGAAGGACTTTGATGGAGTGGAAATGGGATTCTGTTTTGTGCAAGCTAAACCCAGGCACGGAGGTACGACTGGAAGTTGACAGATTTTTGTCCCCTTGCTTATTGATGAAGAAAGAATAAGGTAATATAAGACGGCAATTAGGACGATTAGATATATGAGTCGGCAAATGAGCTCTACGGCCGTTTGTCTTTGAATTGTGATGGGTCTCTCGATTTCGGACAGTCATTGGAGATAGTGATAATTAATAATATCCGCGAGTTTTGATGTGGCAGAGTATTTGATGACTGTTTTACGATATTTGTACCTTTTCAATTCATGTTTAAATTTTTATTTCAAGCTATTCTCACTATTCTATCATGATTATAGGCAAGTTATCTGTTAATCTGAAAACCATTAATCAATGATGATTGGTTTTCCAAAAAAAAGGAATTTTTATTCATACGCCTTAGGTCTATTTGATTTAAAACGCCACAAGATTGTACCGTTATTATCATTTAAAAAGCCAAATAAAAGTTTGTTTTCGCTCCTTTTAAAATTCAAATATAACGTAATTTAAGGGTAATTAACTCATTTTTCGTCGATATGCCAAGTTTCCGCAAAATTATAATACAAATCTTAGAATAATGCTCTTGGAAGAAAAGGCTCCACGCGCTTGGGAGAGCATATTTTTCAAAAGGCAATTTTCGTGCCAGATATAAATGCCAAACTCGAATTTTATTTAATAAATTCCCTGTTTGAATGAAATACATCGGAACGGACAGTGAATCAGAATGATTAAAAAGTGGTCGCTTGTCAAAAGCCGAAACTTATGCGCAACGCACCCAAAATCAAGAATTATTTTATTCTTTTATATACTGAGCCAGAAGCACTCAATCTAGTATCATCCAGATGCTAATGACTAGTCCAAGAGGCAAATCGATTGGGAGTAAATGCTCAATTATTTAAAAGAAAACAAGACAATAAGTACTGGATATCACTCAAGAAACGCTAGTGAAATTTTGAAAGGTGAAAATGAATTCACATTTTTCGTCTGTTACTATTAACATTGATGCATTGGACAATTATATACTGTTGATTAATATTTTAAAACTTGACTAAAAGAGAGCGAGAAAAGGCAAGAATTTCACAGTATTCGAGATTTTGAGTTGTATTGAAATGCGACTATTTGCTATAATAAATGTACAACTAACATGGAAGATTCTTCCATGAGACATCGTCGCAGCCATTGCCCGCAACAAACCCCCATACCATAATTCAACTTACTTGGAAGCTTCTGTACACCGATGACTGTAAAATGGTTCAGTAAATGAAAAGCCTGTCGGATAGAGTAGAAATTGAGCATAAAGTGAGGAATCAATATTTAATGCAGACTTCTGCCTATTCATCTATATTATGGCATTCAAAACTTTGAAATTTATTGATGTTCCCGCGGTTTCTGGTATTAGTTTCGTGTTAGAAATATCCAGTTCATGTTGGCCAGTATATTTATTTGGATTCTTAGTAGTACTAAATGGATTTCAACTGAGTTAATGCCAATAAAATTCACTAAAGTTGAAACAAAGTATTAATTTAGTTTGTTTACCTATTTCCTTCATAAATCGTTGTTAATTTCATGCACCAATTGAGAAGATTGGATAATCTTATAATAAGATATGAACAAAATATTTAAGGTTAATAAAAAGCCCTTATTCAAGCATATTTTAACCAATCAAAGTAAGTTTGACTCGGTTATATGACAGTAGTATTGTACTTGATGCAGTAAAAAAATTGTATATGATTTTATCATGGGAAAAAATAAATAGGTGAATAGGCTATAAGTCAAATAGTATACAAAACGCAGGAGAGTCCCAATAGAAGTGGTTAGTTAAGTTAGGACTCTTGAAGCATTTCTTTATTTCATTTCCGGAAGTATTTATTTCCCCATATTTCCAAAAACGAAGACTAATTGTCAAAGTTGATGAAATGGCACTCAGATTCATGGGTGAAGTTGAGGGTTAATTGGCAGATTGAGCTACTTCCGAGATTCGTAGTACCATTTCGACCAATTTGCTTACAATGGCAGTAAAATAGAAGTATATGAAACTTACGAAAAATTTTTAAAAATTATTTTCACCAGGGTTTGCCTTTTACGAACTCAGTTAATAAAAGTATATTCACCTTTTTTCTGGTTATCTCAAGTTGGGTCCCAAGTGAAGGAAGGAAGAAAACGATTGAGGCCAGTATTTGTTTAAATTAAATGGGAATAAAAGCAAAAGTGCTAATTAATGGACCCATCAAAAATTTTCTTTGAGATATGCTTGTGATAGGTATGCTACAAATTTCT